GTCCTCGTCTTTGCCCCACCACTTATTCGTACCACCATAGCTGAACCCGGGGACCATCGCGTCGTCCTCGTCGTCCTGCCCGCTCATGTCTATAATTTCTGGGGGCTTCTCGCCGCCGCCGGAGAACACTGATGTTGCGTCTCCAGGGCGCTCGCGCGACCAGAAACGCGTGGTGTGGTCATTTGATGCGGTCACGAAGAGATGGCCCATGGGGTGGAAGGCCATTGACCAGATGTTGGAATCGTGCGCTTGCGATAGCGTGGCGCGGGGCTGTGTGACGGATTGCATGTTCGTTGGTTCTGGGCCGCCGAGGTCCCAGTGGAGCACGGCGCCCTCGGAGCCGCCAGACACAAGTATCGGGTGCACGGGGTGCCATGTCACGGCTATGGATTGTTAGTGTGCGGTCGAGTGAAATTAGGCAAAGCTTACAGCAGACTTCTTTCTTGTGGCCTCTAAGGATGCGGAATTCTTTCATGGCGCGGATGTCGAAGACGCGAACCGTTTGATCACGGGAGGCGCTTGCTACAAGGTTGCCGTTGGGAGACCATGCCAGGCCTTGTATTGTATTTTTGTGCTGATGCCTAAGTCACTCGTTAATGATGGCAATGAATTGTTTTGGTGCACTTACAGTGTTGAAAGAACCGCTCCAGTTCGCGGGTCCCAGAATTTTATTTGGTTATCTTTGCTTCCAGATACTAGAAGACCTTTGCTAGGATGCCACTCAACGCACTTGACATCCCACCCATGTCCTAGCAATAAAATCAACGGACCAAACCACGAAACGATGAATAAATCTTTCTACCTGTAAGAACACTTTCTTCCCGACTCTCTTCGAACGACCATATTCGGATAGTTGAATCATCGCTTGCCGTTGCAAAGCGGCGATCATCTGGGCTGAAGCTCAAGCCTCGGATAGCCTCACGATGGCCAGCCCACGCAGTCAAGTTGTTCATATTCGGCTGGAAATACTTAATTATTCCATTCTGATCTGCCGAAGCTAGGAATGAGCCAGAGTGTGTGAACTGGAAGGCGCGGACGGCGGAATCGTGGGCTTGGAGAATAGTCTCGAAATTGAATGTGAGACCGTTCCAGAGGGTAAATTCTCCGCTTGTTGACCCTGTCAGTACTCGTCGTCCTTCTGGAGTCCACTAAATTAATGTTTGAGAGATTTAAAAGAAACGTCAACGGTGGTACGGACTGTAACGACATTGACTGGACAACGAATCTTGTTAGTCGAGGTGTGAATAAATTTGGTGCACAAGGACGTCGAAGAGTTTCCAGGATATGCAATTGGTGGGAGCAGCTATACACAAGGAACATTTCTTCAGCAGCTATGCGCCACGGAAAGAAAAACTCGCACGTCAATAACGAAGGGAGGAGCAGGTCTCATGGAGGGGACATATGTCGAATTAGGTCGGTGTTTGCGTAGCTACACTGGATTAGACGTATAATCGTGTAATGATCAAGTTGCTACATACAATATTCCACCTGCCCATACCCGCATTAAAATCAACAGTCCGCCGAGGTCTTGTCTTCTTTACGGCTTTCCCATCTTGCAACTGTCTTGCAGCAGCCATTTCTTGCTCAAGAACTCTTGCATCGTCCATAGGAGGTGGTTGAGGATCAGAGAGATACCGTTTAGGTGTCCATTCTAGATGAGGATGTGAAGGTGGACGCGGAATTGAGCTCGAGGGTAACAGCATTGGTATTGATGTATCCATGCTGAGCATTGGCAGCACCATCAAGTCCTGGTGCTATTTTCGCGTTTCGAGCAAATGGGAGACTTATGTAGTAGCACGATCAGTAGCTGAAGCTATGAAGTATGATTGACTTTGCATTAATGAAATACTTGAAACTTGAATGCGCGCTTGTTTACATCTGTTTGTCAACACTCATGACGACAGTTCCGCTATTGACTCCGCCCCTGCCATGAGACTGTCACAGCGAAGTGCGCACTGACCACAAGCACTGCAAAGCAGAGTCAGAAATGCCAGCAAAAAAAATCCTCCAGCTGGCTTAAGGAGAGAGGATGTGTTGATATATTTTCCCCCACTCTCTTTCTTCCCAACTACCATCATCTCGGTGATCTTCGAGTTCAAATCTCAAATTCTAACTTACCCCACAAATTATCAAATGGCTCGTACTAAGGTATGTAGATACTGTTCTACTCTATTGTATAAAATTTTGTGAGGGGAGGGGGACATGATTGTCGTCCCGAGTGGGGGGGAGTATGAGAAGGAGGTGTTCCCAAGCGCCGGGTGCTGTGGCGTAAGACCTGTGTTTGGTGATTTTCTTTCGCAAAGAAGGCACCACGGAGGTTTGAAACTACGCATTCTGTTCCATCCGCATCTTCCAACCTCCGGAAGTCCCTCTCGTGCCCCGATGGAACTTCTAATGTTGTAACATATGTTTCTAACGACTTTCCTTTTTTGGTAACTTCAGCAAACCGCCCGCAAGTCGACAGGAGGCAAGGCTCCTCGCAAACAACTCGCTACCAAGCAGACTAGAAAGAGTATTGCGGTTAGTATTTACTATCATATACTGTGAACTCTCATTAATTTACTCGTCATCGTAGGCCGCCGCCACTGGAGGTGTGAAGAAGCCTCATCGCTTCAGACCTGGCACAGTCGCCCTCCGTGAAATCAGGAGGTACCAGAAATCCACCGAGCTGCTCATCCGCAAGCTCCCCTTCCAGAGGCTCGTGCGAGAGATTGCCCAGGACTTCAAGGTATGCCCATATTTCCCTTGCATGTAACACAAACGCTGACATTGCTAACCACTTGCAGACCGATCTTCGCTTCCAGTCGTCCGCTGTTCTTGCCCTGCAAGAGGCTAGCGAGGGTAAGTAGATGCATCATTGGACTGTCACTCAAGCTCATCCATGTTTGCTTGTGCAGCTTATCTAGTATCTCTCTTTGAGGATACCAATCTGGCTGCCATTCACGCCAAGAGGGTCACCATGTAAGCTTACTCCTCCAAGTTACTAGTAGTTTAATTGCTCACACATTTTCGTAGTCAGCCCAAGGATCTCGCTCTCGCACGCCGTCTCCGGGGCGAACGTTCCTAATCTACCAAATCACTCAACTGAGTGTTAATCTTGATTCATACGTGTTTCGTAGAAATGCCTGTATTCACCACTCTTGCTTCGTTTAAATGTGTTTGTGCTAAGTATATGATCTACATGTAGTACTATATATCTCGTTACTTATGAATGTACAAGACCACGATTCAAGCCTTCATGGAATACCTACAGGCTGGACTAAACTGCGATGATTCGACGTTAAGATGTTACAGCGGCTCACAGGTGCTCCAGAATGGTAGGTGCAGCTGGACGGATCATTATGCATTATGTCTTGGCCAGCCAGCGCGACCTGCTACGACATCCGACTGCGCGTATTACACCCTTTCGGAAGCTACTTATTGACGAGTATATTCTTGCTCTATTTAATACTGACATTACAAATTGTACACACAATTATAGTGGCATTTTACTAGTACTATTTGTGCAAAAGACTCCATGAAGTGGTCTCCAGCGCAAGCCCGCTGAGCTCTGAGCGTTCATTATTCTCAGCATCTCTTCGCAGTTCTAACCCCGAGTACTTAACTATACACGCCTACCCTCGTGCCCTGACTGTTTCACGTTACCCTTATCGCTCCACACTCACACCCTCAGATGCGAGGCGCGGGTCGATGGACTGTTTATACAGGAAGTCCACTACATCACTATTTAATATCAGCATAATATGGTACAGAACCACGCGTGAATAATAAACGATTTTTCTTGCAGAAAAGAGTGGCTCATAAGAGGTTGCTGGAACTGGAAGGGTCGACGGAGCAGGCAGAGGGGTGCCAGAGGTCTCGAGGGTCACAAATGTCCGCTGGGGCCCTGGCCCAATGCGTTTCTGAAGCAAGGATTATGTCTAAATGAAGCTAGTGTTGTCAATTTCGAAGTTGGAACGTACAAATATTAGCATATGTACCCGCAGTTACCCTAAATGTCGAGACTCAAATTGCCGAGTTCACGGAGTTCTTCAGGAATAGGCCAGTTCCGACTCCCGCCTTCCTGCAGACTCGCCGCCATGAATAATATAGAGACAGAGCAATTGGGTCCATGTCCGCAACGTTGCAACCCCTAGTAAAATAAACTAGTGAATAAACTGTTATTGAGTAGGGTTATGTAATCATATGAGCCGCGTATTTTCACATCCGCATCCCTAAATCACTTTTGTTTTCAATAAGCTATCATACTGAAATCATGTCCAAGGTCCTTCTACCGGTAGCCGTGTTTTCAATTCCACCACCATGACACCGCATGTACAACAGATCACCACCTCCTCAATTCGAGCAATGGCTTACTGTGGGCCACTGTGACTTCGGTGATGCGGCCTGACTTTTCGTCCAGTAGCATGAAGCTAATCAACCGATCGACCGACGGTCAATGATTGATGGCGCTTACCATGGCTCCCCGCCCAGATTCGATCGACTCGGATGAATTGAAACTGGCACTGCAAGCACGATGTCATTCTTCTTATGTGTGGTATTACTACCTATCCGTTTGGTTCAGTACCGGCTATTTTTCTCTTTGTGGATACACAGTGGATCATACTGACATCAAGTCCTGCCCAATACAAGAGCACACCATGACGTTGTAAAAGCTTCTGCTGGTCTCCAATCTTGTTCTCGAATCGCATCAAAGTAAGCTAAATTATACTGTGATAGGACGGTATTCATGTGACGTCTCTCCCAGGTGTAGGCAAAACTGCGGTGTAGGCAAAACTGCAGGTACTCAAGGTGTCGGCTTTTCATTTCAAACCTTGCCAATTAATCCCATACCACACGCGGCAACTAGTAGTTGCAAGCAAGTCATCCATTGGATCAGAGGAGTCGAGCTTATGTCTGCCAGACGTGCCATGGACATGAAGCATATGATATAAAAGCTGGGAAGACAGTAAGTATTTTCCTGCATTCCCACCACTTCATCTGTCGCCTAGAGTGTCCAGATGGATAGCTCACACGCGCATCGTAGACAAAGACACAAGCTCACCATAAAATCATCCAGATCGACACTACAAGACCTGTCGCCCTCACAGTGGCTAGGGCTGGCCCCTGACCAACGTTCAAGGAGACTACTCCTACAGTCATGTCTTCGGCGCCTCGACCACCTCTACGAGTTAGAGCGTCGCGTGCACGAGGAAATCCATTTCCTTGACAATTACCACTCAGATGCCACGATGGAGATTTTAGGCGGATGTGATAGCGCCGTCGACTCCCAAGCTGGACTCGATGGCCTCAATGCTATTCCACCGTTTGTATCTTCGCATGACCGTTACTTCGTGTCACAGCCTGCACCCCATGGAACGTTTAGGGTCATGGGATCGCTGTCGGAGGGTACAGGTTCTCCTCAAGGTAAGTTTCTTTATATGTAGTTTTTCTTCTAAACACTTACCGTGTATAGGGTTATTGGCCCACAGCGCCCGTAGTTCTGCCGACTATGTAACTCAGGTTCAGCACAATATGCACTCTGAGGTTTTTCCGGCATTATGTGATCCGCGTGTCACGGAATCGTCATCGGCGGGTGTGGATGCTCGCTTCGGTGAATTCGCTATCATTTGCAGCTTTTCCTTGAAACGCTTACAACGTATCACTAGAATTGTCGCTCCGTGGCACGTCCAATGAGCCCGCTGCGCAACACTTTCAGGGCATTCATTCCCAGGAGCATGTCCCATCGAGTTCTTCGGCCGGACCCGATGCGCAACTGTCTATCCCCGTTGTGCAGGCTAGCCAAGCAAAGAACAAAGTACAATGCACCCGGTCCGGGTGCTCAACACTCGTCAACAAGGATAACCTCACTCGCCACGTCAAAGAGGTGCACGAGGGGAATATCAAGGCTGTTTGTGCAGGCTGCAGAAAGGAGTTCAAGCGCCCGTATCAGATGAATCAGCATATTCTTCGAACCCGATGTGGAACATCCTAGATGTGAAACAAAGTCGCTAGATATTTGTTGAGATGGTTATGAATGTGTGTCAGGACTCGGAAACAGCTCTTGGTACTCTTACGAACAATCGTTACTATGCCTTATGTAAAATCATGCCTTTCGATATTCTTGCATATTACCATGTTTTTGCAATTGTCTGGCCATGGGTGAATTTAAAAGAGCAACTTGAGCCGGTGACCTTGGAAAAAGCAGCCACGCGCTGTGCAGAGTCTGCAGACCACGCAGTGTGATTCTAGAAGGAACTAGCAGAAACCACGTTACGAGCACGATGCCACTACCGTCAATCGACAAACGTTTGAAACGACTCAGGCTGCCACAATGCATACTTAGAGCAATATCCACTGGCAGTACCATATACATGTTTAGGCACAAGTCCCAGGTTTGGGTTAGCGGCACTAGCTAGCCGCGGTGCTCGGGTCCCAAACGACAACGACATTTTAGAATTGAGCTTCCTGGAAAATTCCCGGCTCGTTATCTCTGCGTCTCCCACGGATGGTTGTCAAACGGGCCCGACGGTCGCCGGGCTATCAGTGGTACTACGTTCGTCTCCTAACAAGTAAGGCTCACTCGACCTGAAATACACTCCTAAGGACTACGTTTTCGCGTGCTGGACTCCCGGGCCCGTGGACTAAATACGTGTCTGGTTCGAGCACCCCATCACTATCATAGTCAACGGTATATTTTCAGCATCATTTATGGGCGGAAACAGGTAGACATGCCAGCGAATGCTCGCTCTGCGGCGATGTTATGTGTTTTGGTACGCCCCGGTGCTACGACCGTCACAAGGGTAGACACACAGATCAACCACAAGCTACTGGAATCTTCCAGTATTTTGACTTCCAACGTGTTTTGCGCGAGTCACGGCTTGGCAGCTTCGTGATCAACATCTACTTTGACTCAATCGAAGGCCGGCGTGGATTAACCCACGTTTCTACTCTCATGTGAACATACTTACTTGGGTCAATTAATGAAGGCAGGAACGAATATCATCCCGTTGCGATCACTTCGGTCTATTATAAAAGGGCTGGATGGTGGTATATCTAGCACGAATTAATTGTTGTACGCCGATCAAGTCCACGCCCTCCCACATCCATCGATTTTCGAGAAACATGACCGTAGTCTCAAATGATCCGTCTTGGTGGCCAGCCATCGATTCGGCCTTCTTCCTCAGCTATCTCATAGGTTCGTGTAGGACTAGGCTGATGATGATGGTGATGTCTCGATCTAACTTTGGCTGTGGTTTCGCAGTTGCTGCCTCCGCCGGGGTAATGTACGATTGGGGTGAGCATGATAGAATTCAAGAACAACCAATAACCTTATAGTCTCTCCAGTACTCACATTTGGACAAGAGGTAGGTTGATATCACTATCAGAGCAGCTACCTCGCTAAGAACGGTTTCAAAGGTTGATCTGGTCTGGGTGAGTCGAATCCTGTGTCAGAACAAAACAACCATCAATTCGCAACAGAGCCAACGCTGGTCCCTCATGACCTTTTTGTATTTGAGTGTGTGTAGTTCGTGATATAAGTGCGACTGACACGTTGTGCTGATCAGAAGATATCTTAGATGCGCTATCTTGGATTGCTGTTTTCCGTGTATGTCTGGAAGGCTAGTAAGCAAATGGTGTTACGCTAATGAGCCATTCTCACAATTAGCATCGGTATGCTGTGTATGTCTCCACACATACACACTCTTTTTCTTTTTCTGACTGGCAACATTCAGTATATGTTCCGACCATCTCGGTGACAGACGTAGTGAGTATTGCCCACCAATGACAATCATTTTAGTCCAACTAATCCATTCCAATGCAGGGGTGAGTAAGATCTTCTATTAGCTGTTTGGTTTGGGATAATGACTACCACAGCTGTGAGTTTTTTCGAGCATGATCCTCTGAAGCTGGTGACCAACTGTATTCGTTAGGCCTGGTTATGCATGCCGCACTAGATTGGATGAGTATGGTCGGAAATGTAATGCTAGGTGGTGAGCGATTCGTCTCCCAGACTTCAGTCTTGACTAAAACATTACGCAAGTCATCATGATCGCCCGATTACATGCCATGTATCAGCGATCTAGAAAGATGCTGGTATTTCTCGTTGTCATCTTCGTGCCTATCAACATCTATGACGGAGTAATGACCGCACTCGCAGCGAGGTTTGTTTCAGGGGGTGAGTATACTGATGGATCACAGACTTAGGTGCAATAGGCTCATTCACGAATATTAGAGGAGCTCATTCTCTCTGACACGTATCAGTGTAGCCTCAGCTATAAGGGAGATGGCGTACTTGTGTGTACCATCACTTGGACACTCAGCACTGTGTGGGAAGTTCTTATACTGTGTCTCGCAGTCCGGATTGCTGTAAAACACATCCGTGAACTGCGACGATATTCAGCAGGAGGGCTCATTGGTAATTGTTTCACGGTGTTAATGCAAACTCACCTAATTTATTTTTCGATGTAAGCTCGTAATGTGGATATCCTTTCCATCGCTGACCTTTCGCACGCGCTAGCTTTTTTGCTATTTCTTGCTTCCAGCTCAGTGATTTGTTTTCAATCATTTCAGCGGTACGCCGATCTCTCTCGCATCTGTGCTTGCGCCCACGGTTCATAATTTCTATAGGACACATCCTCCCTGGAATTTCGAATGCATCTTTGTTTCTGTCAAATCTCCTTGCTCGTGCACATGTTTGTGCTGGGACCACGCCTGATCCTTAGCGTTCGAGAATATAACGCTAAGCTCCTGGGCGACTGGGACTCAGCAACCGGCATGTTATCAATTCCTTTCCAGAATATTTCAACCAGCGGTGTGTAGCATAGGAGACGTTCTGATTGACAATCGTCGGGTATTCTTCAGGCAGCGGGATAATGTGCTGTCTGATTCAAGTTTCATTGTGGTACTGTACATTCAAGCTGTATTTAGTGTTTGAATTTGAATTTGAATTTGAAAGACAAATAGGCAAAACGAATCGTTAATCAACATCTTGTACTAGCTGCACACAAGCACTGCAGACACTTCATGACCCATAGCTCCTAACGTGAAGCGCGGCGTTTCAGCCTCATACAGGCCACATATATCGATCGAAGGTCAGGTCGCCACGTCTCCAGTCGAATTCGGCAATATGATTTAGTCAGCCGAAGGACTGACATACTTTAACGGTGCTACAGTCAGCTTCGTTGTACTTTGAAGGCTGTAGGACCGTTAAAGCATGGAGACTTTTCGGCTGAGTAAATCATATCGCGGATTTGACAGGAGACGCAGCGAGCCTTGGTTGACCTCCAATCAATGTATATAACCTGCACAAGGCCGAAACGCCGCGCTTCAAGTTGAGAGCCAGGGGCCCTGAAGACTTGGAGTTTGATGGATGTCCTGTTATGGGGAGAACACGCAAAGATTAATATGTCATGCATATCTCATCAGCCAGGTGAATACTCCGCAACTTGGATGTGTTTCATTACGGGGTGTTCACCTGACTTTGAGAGGAACATCGTCTGTGGGACAATCTGGATGTCACGCAGGACGTTGGGGGCGCCCTGCTCGACATCCACTGCAGCACGGGACGATCATCAGAGCACAGACTCGGCGAATGAGTTCGTGTTCATCGAGGATTGGTTTAAACATGATTGACTGTGTGAGGTGAAGGTAGGAGATGAAGCGGGATAACGATGCAGAGGAAATGCCTGCGCTTTATATACCACAGTCGTGTCCACAATTTATGTAAGGCAAATGTGGATAGTGGAACAATTTGAAGTCTTGTAGGCATTGTTACCAGTATCACACTGAGACTTGCTATCAGGACCACAACCTGTAACAATATCAATAATACTAGTGATCGTTTCACTCTTCCTCTTCTCTCAGGTCTCATTGCTCCATCCCCCGTATGGAACTTCGAAAATGTCGCAAGTTAGTAGACTCCTAACATATGTTTCCGACGGCTTTCCTGTTTTGGTAACTGCGAAGCCCATCATGATGTTCATATCGAAGTAGTACTTGCTTAACACATGACCAGCATACAGAACCATGCATTATTGTGTCTAAGTCACCGGAACACTTGGTCTTATTGTTTGTACAAGAGTGAAGTGAACTCTACTCCAAGGCGTAAGCTGTTGGACAGCAAAAATAGAACAATATATGAAAAATAAACGTGCCAAAAAGGTCACGGCTACAATATGAGACATCATGAGAGAAATCCCCGTAAAACAAGAGCAAAAAATCCGCGTAATGTGTCTTGTGCATGCAAAATATATCATTCCGGTTCTTCCAGTTCATCCTCAGTAGTAGTCTCTGTGTCACGTCCTTCACGAGAGTTAGATCGAGAAGCCATAGACCTTGGACGAGAATTTGGACGAGAACGAGAACGGTTTTCAGCGTGCCGCGCGATTCGCTGCTGCTCGCTAGCTTCCTCTGGACTAAGTGGGTAGCTTGGGATGCACTTGAGCTCGAAAGTACAAGGCAAGACGTCTCCACAAGCCTCTTTGATGAATTCATCGTTACGGACAAGACCGCCCCACCTCGAATTACTGCAGAGCCAATCCAGGCGTCTCAGCTGTTCTCCCAGGTGGCCGCCGGGGACGTTGCTGTCCGTTGAGCGATTATACTGATACGCTTGCCAAATCTCCCGTCGGCGACGGGTTGTAACTCCTTCATACTCCTTTTTCGCGACGTCCCCATAAAAATAGGAAGAAATGGCTTCGATCACTTCGCCGCAAGTCACACCAATGTTTTGGCGTCTAGCTTTGACAGAGATCATCCACGGGAATGACCGTGAGATGATGCGGATTTGTGACAGGCGCGGGAACGTAGCGGGTGCCTCACGCCCTTTAATCCATGAACGCTTTGGCCCAGTTGTGCGATAACAAGTACTCGTTGGGAAAATCATGTTCCAGCGGAGGTAGTCTTCATGCGAGTCTGTGGGTGGAGATAGGAGGGGATTGATGCTAATCGTTGCCGATACCGCCCTTACAAGAAAAGGCTCGAGAACGGGCCCATCTAATAAAATGATACTGGATCAGAAAACATTCATCTCAGCCTGAATATGAGGTGCATACAATGTGGCCCTTCGGCAAAATGGTTGATATGGTCCGCACTGCTCGTCCACCGAAAGTTCGCGCGAGCAGTGTCAGGCGGTTGTGGCGGCGCAGGGGGCGGTGCAGTTGGGTGCACCCATGGTGTGTGACCAGCATACATGTTCGGTGGTGGCCCACCAGGGAGAGGCATCCCCCACGCTGCCGCAGGAGTAGGAAATCCTGGCGGATATCCTGCGGGTGTGAATGCCCCTAGTTGGGGACCCCAGCCGGGAGGACCCGGTGGTAGCGGATGTTGGAACGAGTATCCTGTCCCTGGCGCTGACGCTGGCCAGGGTGTACCCGGAGGAGGTTGGGTAGGCACATAAGGTGATGGGTTGCCGTTTGGATAACCAGTATAATCAGCCGAGAATCCATTACCAGGTGGTGCTCCATACATGTTTGGAAGATTGGCAGGAGGGGGGAAGTAGGAGCTTTGAGGCATGATAGGAGTAGAATGTGCGGTGGGTATGTTGGCTACGGGAGGGATAAATGGCGTGGTATTATACGGTGTCGGGGGGTAATATGGGTATTGCCCTGGCGTGCGGGGCTGTTGAGCCCACGCAGGCGGGTGGTGGTTTTGAGGCACTGGAGGAATGACTGGTGGCGCGAGACTTTCGGGAGAGGGAAGGGGGGGTATGAAGGGAGTATTGGCTGTCTCAGGTGATTCAAATAGCATTTTGAGCTGATGTTCTAGATATAAATGCGATTGCAGTTTGTGTCACGCCGTCACTGACAGAAACCAATAAATGCATCAATTCGGGATTAAAACATAATGGTATAGAATTCGGCTCACAGGAAATGCAAGGAAACCTATGTCACGCTTATTAATACAGAGGTAACTCAGGACGTATGGCACAGGCTCAACTTGAGGTGGTTCAAGGATAAATTCGAATAGATTGTGCCGATATCTCGGTCTGAGTGCTCAAAAGGGCCTGAGAAGGGAGCATCATATCAACCATATCTCGGGATAGATGCCAGTATCTCTTTACCTGCGGGTACAGTTAGAGAACGTGCTCAATGTATGTGGTGAATCTAAATGGTGAAATCGACTGATTTCAGGAACCTCCTGCACTGATTCAATCCCACAGCCTTTCGAGGTTTATACAGTGCTCGACACAGCCGCTGCTATAGGATTCAAAAAATGCAAGCAAACTGACAATGACCTTTAGGGAAAAAAGAGGCAGTGGGAAGATGAGAAAGGACTTAGATGGGCCGACGGCTACCCTGAGCAAGTCAGTGATTAGTGGCTGTGCCTACTTTTACATAATTGCGGCACATTGTCACATCCATTTGTAGGCCCATCCGGGGACCGGGGCGTTAGTTATGAATCATGATGGCATCATAATGCAGCCCGAGCGCCTTCAGGTGTAAGTAGTTAAGCGCACGATGGAACTTTGCGCGCCCGCTGAGCGGCTTCGCTGTGCTCTTGATGTAAGAAGTTTCCACCAGATTACTTATCATCCTCGGACGTAGATCTGGACCTTGGATCCGAGCTTGGACAATTAAATGTAGTCACCACCGCGTATCGCACGAGTATGTATAGCGTGAGGCAATGACAACCGATGTGACAGATCAGCACGACACGGGGTTCCTTGGTTTTCATTTCCATTAGTCAACCTAGGAATTACTTCTTGAATTGGACAGCAGACGAGTTTTGGGGCCCCAGCTACTGATTTGAACAGTCGGCGCTGAATTTGGAGTTGTAATATCAATGCGATAGGCCCCTGCTCTTGGACTTATGACGCACTTGCTTCCAGGAGAAACCGGAAGTGTTCAAAGTGTATATTCGCAACACATAATATTCCGACACCTACAATTCTATGTTTCCCTAGCTAGAGGTTTGAGTGATTTCAGAGTAAGTTAGAAGGGATAAGACAGTCATCCCGCCTACAACCAAGGCGGTTCCACGATGTTTCAGCGACACCAAGTTCGCTGATGTTGGCTAGCATCCAATCGCAAGTGCGGTCGGATTGAGGGTCAAAACTGTCGACCCTGTTGTACCTTTCGGGGGCCCCTTCCGTTTCTGGGCTCCAACGTTACACTGGAGACCCTATGCTCTTGAAACTCGCCACAATTCGGGCTTGGCATGGGCAATGCCGGTAGCCATTGGGGTGATCATTCCTGGTCCTTCATGAACCATTCGATTCCCATGCTGAAATGAATGTAGATCCGATCACGACGATGATATCGGAGGCAGAGCTCCAACTTGATCATTAGATCAATGCGTTGATTTCGCTCAGAGTTGCTCTGACGAAAATCGCCTGATCATATGTTCACAGCTTAATGCGGGGATGGGGCCTTCCTTAGACATGACAAGGGTTAGCATAAAGTACGCGACATATGATACATCATGAAGCATGGCGGAAAGCGTGACGGTACGGGGCCATCATGAAGTGAGGTTTAATACAAAAATGTTGGGGGCCTTGAAACCGAGACGCTGAATCGAGTAGTTGTCCTTCTTCGACAGACCGTCAAAGTAGTACTTGTCTCGAAGCCAATCTACAGAGATTGTATAAGACATCGCATAACAGCAAAGTTACATGGATAACTCACCAACTCGTTTATACCGATTTGGTGCAGGGGTGGTGTAATACATGTTCCAAGATGCACCGGAGGCATTATTGTGCGTAGCGGCCCTCTTTACTTGTTCCTGGAGCCTTGGAGGGAGAACATTGAATTCTGCATCGGTCACATAACTCTCTGTGTACCTGGGTCGGTAAGGTTAGATTCGGACGTTAAGGCGGCTGGACAGGTACTCACTCTTTCCAAATCGTGCTACAGACATCGCCCATAGTAACACCACGGTCATTGTGCACTACCGTGCACCACGGACTGGACTCGGTAATGATGATAAGATCTTGAACGCGGGGAAGCGTTGCAGGCTCGTCTTTGGCAGAAAATGGTATATCACGATCCCGGTCATTAGGATTGAAGCCGCCAGTAGAACCTTATGTTTACGAAACATTAGCTCTTATCAGATATTGATTCTAAGGTGACATACCAGTGACAAGGTTAAACATGAGGTGGAAGCCATGGTTTGTACCAGACATGATCGGGTGCAGTTGCAGCTCGGTATTGAGCAGATAAAGATCAGTCTGGGAGAGCACTGGACCGTCTGTTTGGGCGCATCGATCTGTATGCGACACACAAAGCTGAACAATCGCACTTACAACCTACTCCTGCAGACCACTTGCTGACAGTTGTGTCACCCATTGATGTGAGCGTCGTGCGAAATGATGGTACTAATAGGTATTGATGGGGATCTACGACAGGATGATGTGGTATTCGACAGAGATGCAGAACACAGAAGAAACGGGGGTGTTGGGGTATAGAAAGTACTGGTACAGCAGCGCTTTAAATGGGGCTGCTCAACGGCTAAGTTAAGCTATGCACTTGTTTGAATTACGAGGTCGGCTGTGTTACATAAGTGTTGTCCGGGTCCCGCTGCAGATTAGATTAGATTAATATCTGACTAAGTGTTGGGCTCTTTGAAGGCCTTTTGAACTCGAACCTTCTTACTTGATTATACCAGATTGATATCCGCACTATCATAAATGGCTCCCAAAGGTGGCAACGCAAAAAAAGAGAGTGGTCGAGCCAAGAAGGCAGAGAACGAGGCGAAGAAGCAAGAGGCTACAGCTGCTGAGAAGGTGCGTACATTAGCATGGCCTTTGTACAGAATTCATTAATCGGTGTTGACAGGGAAAAAAAGAGGCTGAAAAATGGGAGGATGGCGCCAAGGGAAACAAAGCTAAGGAGGAAAAGGAGGCCAAGCGTCTAGCCGAGCTCGCCCGCAAAGCCGAGAATGCGCGGCTGCTTGCAGAGGAGGAAGCTGCCCCTCCCGTAAAAGTCAAGACAGCACCCAAAAAGAAGAAAGATGTCAAACCAGCTGGTCCCGGAGCAATCGCAGCTGGAGGCAGCTCGAGTCAAGAAATACCAGCAACAGAGACGAATGTCAAGGATGAACCACCTAAGGAGATCGAAAGCTATGCTGCAACTGGCATCGATAATGCACTGGATCTCCTGGAGGTAGTGACCGCAAAGATGGACAAGGCCAGTTTAGGGCAACAAGCTGCAGGTATCGAAAGGCACCCAGAGGCAAGATTGTTTCTTCCTGAGGCTATGCTAATAACTGACACACTTGCCACCTAATAGCGCCGATTTAAGGTGAGAACTCACTTGATGGTATATTTCTGATACACGATTTATCATATCCCTAGGCTGCGTTTGAAGCTTACAAGGAACGCGAGCTGCCAAACCTGAAGCTCGAGGTACGGCCGCATCCCCAGTAGGCGAATCACAAGGCTAACGTACTATTTTCTCAACCGCAGCATCCTGGGCTGCGCCTGCAGCAATATCAGGTCAGTGGCACCGTGAGCGCAATTTCGAGATGTCTGACATTTGAATTATACAGGATCTGTTGCACAAGCAGTTCCAGAAATCACCGGATAACCCGTCAGTCATCAGGCTTATACAGCCTCTTTAATATGACGACTGATCCATGCGTACTCATCATTACAGCTTTAATCAGGTCACCATCGCTTATGACGCCACAAAGGACGAGAAATTGCAGTCTCTCAAGGAGAAACAAGATGCTGTGCAGAAACGCTTGCGTGCATAACGATCGTTCTGATGCGATAATTCTAGGAGTCTGGACATTGGCAGACTCGGAAGCTGGGGTGTATGATAAAGTACTAGCGTTGCTGAAGTTCGATTTGCTATCTCTAGAAGAGACTTGATAACAAACATCTGGACCTGTCCATACATATTCTCACAATCTATTAACACTGCGTGTATTGTTCGTGCGACTGGGCTGTGAAATCATCAAATCCAGATGAGTCAACCGAATTTCCTTCGAGAAATGGCCAACTTGCCAAGTGACATGACAAAGGTCTTCGCATCGATAGAGAACACAAAAGAACTACAAGGACTGCCCACGACACCGCATTTCCGACATACCCTGTATAATAACCTGTGTTCAAGCTGCGATTGTTGCTGCGCTGGCCTACTGAGTGTTTCTTCCGGTCCCTGAAGGCAGTGTAGCTGCATTTGCGATTATGTAACCATGGATATTTTTTTCGAGTACATATAAGTTCAAAGTTCGATGTCGTTCGAGGCAACACACGACTACTTCCCACCTCAGCACTAGCCACGACATGCCAGATATTTCGATCCTGACCCAGCGTGCAAACTCTTTTGCATCACCCAAGTCTACTCAGCCCACAAATTCGCTTGTAATAACACAAGTTCCTCGATCATTTTTCCAACCTTCGATAATCAATGCTTTGCGTGACCACTTTGCTACGTACGGCGAGATTAATCAATGGGTGCCGATAGCATCATTTTGCCGTATAATCCTGGTATATTATGCAGAGGAGGCCGCTGAGGTCGCAAAGAACGCTTGTGATCCTCTTATTTTGACTCTCCCACACAGGTACGTGATCTGATTCGAAGTACTCATCGTGTTTCTCATTTTTTTTTTGCGCAGAATACCCACGGTTTTGAGAGTATATCGTTCCGAACCCAATCCCATATTTTCACCGTCATCACCAACGGCAGATGAAAATTTATTACGTCCTCCACCAATCGAAAAGAACTTCCTTATCTCACCACCTGGATCCCCACCCATCGGCTGGGAACAAATTCGTGAAGAACCACCAAATGCTACGCCTCTCGCAGATGATCTTATAGTTGCACTTCACAAGTTGAAACTGCAGGAGAGGCGGTCTAGCCGAGAAGTGCTACTGGAACCTGAAGAAGGTGTAGGAGTGGGGGTATACGTCGAGGACTGCGATATGAATGATGATGATGATGCGGAGGGGGTCGACTGGGAGTATGGTTGTCCATCCCCGGCCAGGCTACGATGGAAACCAATAGCAACAGCCATGCCACCAATGCGAGTGCGATAAAGTTGTGTAAGTCTTATATTTCACCTTTCCTTCAGGATGATATACATCAGACCTGTTCCGAGACCTACATGCGGACATCTTGATATTGCCTTTTTTTCTGACTCTTTTTGCATCAAGTAATGATTTAAACCTGGTGCTAATATTTTTTTCCACAGTGTCACTGCGAATTGTTGTACTATATCTATACTGTCGGCACACTGTATATCACCATGTGAGCGTCTTTCCTTGTGCCCTTCTCCTGATGAGATACTTCAGACCTGTTCTGATCCTTGTGGAGATAACTTCTATTGCCAAATAATTTTCTGATCCATGTTTATCATGCTGCTTTGAACTTGACACTGACCTATCGCTTCTAGGTTGTCGGCATCTTTTATGGGGCCTGTTTTGAGGTATTTTAGCATCATTTCCCCTAGTCATTTGTAATGGACTTGTATAACAGCCATAACCACATGCCTGGACTCTTGCCGCAGCCAGAAACATACGATTACGAATGTACTTATTTCAATTGAGCTAGAATATCATGCCTTATGTTGTTTAGATGTTGTGAGATGTTTCTTATCGCCAACGCTCTCAAACGTTTGCGCTGAAGGCACCAATGTCACATCCCGGAGCTTTGGCTTTAGCCGCTTCACTACCCCATACACATGTAATCAGCGCTAACTGAAGGGCTCAGTGAGACTGATCATTGACATAAATGAGCTAGGATTTTTAGGCGCTATGTTGTCATCATTAAATATTAAATATTGTTCTATCTCCCCCAAACACCGGTTTAACAACTCTAATATGCGCAGTCCACGGCGTTGTACATTGTGGCCTGGAACAATTATGTAATGTCGCGAGTCGGCATGGATTTCCAAATAAGGAAATTTAGAAATGGACTCGCTTATTGTTCTTGGACGAGGCATTGTTCTCTTGGTCGAGCAGCAACCCACCGTCCTTATTCTTCTAAATAACAAAAGGCCACGCTCGCCATGCTTTTCTGTGATAGAGCTTCGCGTTTATTTCTTGCTTCCTTCTCACTACACGTTTCTTAGTTCGACATGTTGTCGAGCATATTTGCTGCTACTTTCGCCTTTGGCGCGTCTGTTGGTGAGTGCGAAACTGCATGACATAGTACCCGATATGTCTGACGCTAGTCATTGCTCAGTCGCGCAATCTTCTTCTTCTGTTGTATGCGTTGCGGGACAATGCCTGCAAGGTTATTCTAATACAACTCGTGAGTCAAAAAGTTACTAGAGCATACATCGTCGTACTCATGGCCATGATAAGTTGGAGCAACTCTTTCAGCATCTGGAATATCGACCGAAGTCCTTCTTCTTCCTGGGCAATATACATCCACGACCAACCCAGAGCTACTTCATGAGCTGTTAACGTCTTCTTCTGCCAAACTTTCTCCGTCCACTGGCTTCGGAAACTCAAGTGCTGGATCTTCGGTTTCTCTTCCACTAAACATCGCACTTCAACCTGGTCTTGCTATCTATCCACAAGCTTTCTATTCAGGACAAGGATCATATTCAAGCCTCCCTACGTCTCCCGTCGGAAATACATCCATCCCATTTACTGCTTCCTCATTTGCCCTCTCAGGGAACGTCTGGGTAGCTGTATCAGCCGGAAGCAATAGCCGTGTCATTCTGTGGAACTCTGTTCCTGACGTCAGCCAGCTCCCTGCGAGCGCCTCAGGATCCCTATCGTTACTCAACCTGCAATCATCAACCTGTTCACCGGCTTGTTCCGGGAATGGCATTTGCTCCGCTTCTGGAACATGTCAATGCTCAAGTGGATTCACTGGTTCATCTTGCGAGTCATGTTCGTCTGGTTTCTTTGGACCGGAGTGCCAGGCCTGTCCGTCAGGGTGTACTTCATGTGATGATGGAATCTCAGGAACGGGGCGTTGCTTGGTGCCAGTAGTGTCAAACCTGCCATCGAGCTGCAACTGTATCAACGGAGAATGTGGTGCCAATGGACAGTGTACCTGTATCGGCGGCTGGACCTCGGCGTCAAACGGAACTCAATGTGCAGCATGTGCGGCCGGTTTCTTTTTAGATACAAGCGGGAACTGTGAAAGTGAGTTACGACACGTTCTTTTTCTGTCTTCCCAATCTCATCTTTGGTTCCAGTCTGTCAGTTAGGTTGTCAACAGTGTGCCGATGGCACCGGGGACTGTATTTCTTGCGCGTCGGGCTTTACTCAGGACGGGAACGACCGCACAAAGTGCGACGCCCTTCCGCAAACTACGTCAAATGGTACGGCTTGTCCTGATGGAAGCTATGGCGCTGGGTCTACTTGCGCGATTTGTTCGCCGCT